CTCCAAGGCGGACGCCAGCGCACTGACAGCTTACGCCCTGCTCTCAGAAGTGGACTCTAAGATAGCGGCGGCCCTCCTGGGCGCAGTCACCACGGCGGCCCTGGACGCCGCCCTCCTCGGCAAGGCGGACGCCAGCGCGCTGGCCTCCCTGCTCTCCACGGTGGACGGGCTGGACACTCCACTGGAGGTGGACACCAAGATAGCAAATGCCCTGCTGGGTCTCGCCACCGAGGCCTTCGTCGCAGCGCAGCTTGCTAGCCGGGACGCCAGCATCACGGCGCTCCAGGGGGCCAAGGCCGACGCGACGCTGCTGGCCTCGTACGCCACGAACGCCGCGCTCTCAGTCAGCGAGACCACGCTCCAGAGCGCCCTCGACGCAATCCTCGCGGAGCTCGCCGCCCTGCAGCTTTCCGGCAGCGGCGGAGTTGTTAACGCGCCGGCCTGGGCGGGCTTCACTACTTGGGAGCTCGTTCGCGGAAGCAACGTCGTTCGCAACCTGCATCTGGAGGCTCCTCTCTCTGCTGCGCTGGCCAACGGCGACGACACGCTGAGCATCACGGCAGACTGCTACTCCGTCGCGACGGCGGACGCGGCCCTCGCGGCTGCGCTGCTGGCCTACTACACCTCCTCTCAAGTGGACGCGCTGTTGGGAGACTACCGAACGGGCACGGCGCAGGACGCGGAGACGACCGGCGCCATTTCGGCCGCGCTGCTGGCCTACTACACCTCCTCACAAGTGGACGCCCTGTTGGGAGACTACCGCACGGCAAGCGCGCAGGACATGCAGACGCAGGCCGCCATCACGGGCGCGCTGCTGGCCTACCGGACGGGCCCGGACCAGGACGTGTTCACAACCAACCAAATCACCTCGGCACTGGTGGCGTACCGCTCAGCCGCCGACCAGGACACGGCAACGGCCTCGAGCATCGCAGCCGCGCTGCTCAGCTACTACGCCATCGCACAAGTGGACGGTCTCCTGGCGAGCAAGCTCGGAGTCACGGAGGCGGCCTCGGCCCTGCAAATAGCAGTGCGCTTTCCGGACGACGGAGGGGCCGACGAGGTGGTGGCCGCCATAGGAGAGCAGATCCTGGCCCCCACGGACGTCTCGCTGTCAAACTGGACGGTCCGCCCCAGCAGCGGCTGCAGCGTGGTCCTGGCCACGCACACCGCGGGCGCAGCGAGCGTGGACGGCTACACCCTGACCCTGGCTGCGAACCCGTGGAACATCGTGCGCACCTACAACTTGGCCCCCGGCCGAGAGCTCCTCTTCGCCTGCCGGTACCGGCTCGGCACAGCCTCCAACTTCGTGGTGTACATGTCCGAGGCCGACAACGTCTACGACCCCCTGTACGGCAGCTTCGTGGGTGACCAGGGCGCCTGGAGCACGGCCAAGATGTACTTCACAGTGCCTCCGAACGGAGTTGCAAAGCTGCACTTCGGGGCGCACTTCCAGGCGCCGGGCCTGCCCAACCAGACGGCAGGAACGGTGGACGTCTACGGCCTCCAGATCCTGGACGCAACCCTGGAGGCCGGCAACACAGCGGAGGAGGCAGACACGACGGCCTCGGCCCTGCTGTTGAAGCACGAGTTCCTCGACGGAGGGGCCGACGACGTCACGCTGGCCACCCTGGGCGAGGTGCTGCTGGAACCCACGCTCACCACATTAGGCAACTTCCTGGTGCGCTCCAACAGCCAGAGCTCCGTGGCCTCGGCCAGCTTCACGGTGGGAGGCTTCCAGCTGGAGGGCTACGCCATGACCCTGAGCGCCTTCGCCTGGAACATCGTGCGCACCTACACGCTGACGCCGGGGAGACGCTACTCCTTCGGCTGCCGGTACCGGCTGGGCACGGCCTCAACTTGGTGATGTACGTCAGCGCGGCCGACAACGACTACGTGGGCGTCACCGGCACCTTCCTCGGCACGGCCGCGCAGGGTGTCTGGAGCACGGCACGCCTGGACTTCTCGGTGCCACCGGGCGGAGTCGCAAAGCTGCACTTCGGAGGCTCGATCCCCGGGCTGGTGCAGCAGTCGGCGGGCACGCTGGACCTGTACAGCCTGCAGATCAGGGCCACCGCCTTCGAGGGAGAGTCGGTCTCCGTGACGGACCTGCTGGCCGACTCGCTGGCCCTCACGGGCTCGGCCACGCTGGACGGACTCACTGCGCAGGGCAACGTGGGCTGCGACCAGCTGCTGTGCAACGACGTGAACTGCACCGACGTGTTCACGACGGGCGTGGACACCTCGGGCGCAGTCTCCTGCGCAGCGCTCACAGCCACCGGCGCCGTCGCCGGAGCCACGCTGTCGTCCACCGGCGCCGTGTCAGGCAGCTCACTGAGCATCACCGGCGCGGCCAGCGTGGGCCTGCTGAGCTCCGCCACAGGAATCACGGGCAGCACACTCACCATCAACAACACGGCCAACGCCGGGAACTTCACCACGGTGGGCGACGTGTCCACGGGCACGCTGACGGCCTCAGGCGCAGCAACCGCGGCGAGCTTCGCAGCCACCGGGCGCTCACGGGCGCCACGCTGACGATCACCGGGGCGGCCTCCGCGGGCCCGCTGGACTGCGAGAGCCTGGACTGCACCTTCACGGCCACGAGCGGCGGAGTGTCGACGGGCAGCGTGGTGTGCGGCGACGTGACGAGCTCGGGCACGGTCTCCGCGCCGCAGCTCTTCGCGTCCAACACGCTCACCGTGACCAACACCTCCGGCTTCTCGGACGATCTCTTCCTGACGAAGAACTGGGCGGGCTGGAGCAAGCTGCAGGTGTCCAACAACAGCGCGGCCCCCGACAGCGGCCCGGAGCTGCGGCTGCTGGGCAACCAGAGCGCGCGGGTCTTCCTGGAGCGGGACGGCGGGGCGCACCAGTGCGAGCTCATCATGATCAACGACGAGGCGCTGGTGCAGACGAAGAGCCTCTCGACGCAGCTGTCCCTGACCACGAACCAGAGGAACCCCGGCTGCCTCGTGATCGCGGGCAACACGGGCAACGTGGTCTGCAACACGAGCTTCACGAATTTGTCGGACAGCCGGGTGAAGACGGAGATGGCGGAGGCCGACGTGGCGGAGCTCCAGCAGCTCTTTGACTCCGTGGAGGCCAAGCAGTACAAGCGCCCGGACATGAACGAGGACCTGAGGCTGGGCTTCGCCTCAAACGACTTCGCAGGAGCGAAGTGGAAGAATTTGACGGGCACCGCCCGGTGGAGCGACGGCACGGAGATGGTTACTCTCGACTACTCTCACCTCACCAGCGTGCTGTGGGGGGTGTGCAAGGGCTTCCAGGCCCGGCTGGACGAGGTGGAAGCCTGGCAGGCCCAGCGGGGGCCGAAGAACAAGTAAAAAATGGAGGCGCTGAGGGACCTGGCCGACGACTTCAACGTGCGGGACCCGCGGAAGCTGTACCGACTCGCGAGGCAGCGCGACCTCGACGTGACGCAGGCCATGGCCTTCGAGGCGCTGAAGGCCGACGTGGGCCGGCAGGTGCAGGCGCCCCGGCCGCGCGCGCTGGGCAAGTCTGCTGCCGAGGGGCCGAACGACCGGCTGCAGGCCGACCTCATTGACTTCAGCCAGAACACCCGGGGGAAGACCAGGTACGGCCTGGTGGTGATGGACGTCTTCACCCGGGAGGCTGCAGTAGAACCTCTGCAGAACAAGAACGCCGAGACGGTGGGCCGGGCCACCAAGCGCGCCGCAAAGGAGCTGACGGGGGACGACAAGAACTTTGTGGTCACGACAGACCTGGGCAACGAGTTTGCCACGCTGGACCGGGAGCTGCCCGAAGCCGTGCACCGGACGAAGCGGCCCGAGGACCGCAACGCCATTGCCGTGGTGGACCGGGGCATCCAGACCCTGAAGAAGGACCTGGCCACTCGAGTCGCCAGGAAGGGCGGGGGTGGAGCCAGCACCTCGAGCAGGTGGCGGACGCGTACAACGCTCGGCCCCACGAGACGGTGCACGCTGCGCCGGAGGACGTCGAGAAGCAGCCGGCCACGGAGTTCCGTGTGCTCCAAGACAACGCCGACCGGTTCCAGCACAACAAGGACCTCACGGAACGCCGCATCAAGGCCATAGAGGACGCGGGCGCCTTCCGAGCGCCGACGAACGCGGCGAGGAGCTTCAACCCTCAGTACGGCGACGTGCAGCAGCTCCGGCGGCTTATCCAGCTGGACAACTTCCTGGGCCCGCCCCGGCCGAGGACAATCGACTGATAACCAGCTGGCAACTTTGCAGTACCAAAGTACGGCTGATAACGGCAACTTTGCATTTGAGCCAAAGACCGCGCTCCAGCTGGCAACTTTGCAGTACATTTGAGCCAAAGACCGCAGCTCCAGCTGGCAACTTTGCAGTACATTTGAGCCAAAGACCGCAGCTCCAGCTGGCAACTTTGCAGTACATTTGAGCCAAAGACCGCAGCTCCAGCTGGCAACTTTGCAGTACATTTGAGCCAAAGACCGCAGCTCCAGCTGGCAACTTTGTAGGACGGGGAGCTGGCAACTTTGTAGGACGGCAAGTGGCAGCTTTGGAATACTTTGAGACGCGCGTTTAGGTGGGAACCCCAAAAGAACAGCCGCAGTGCGGTTCGGGAGAAAAAGACGCGCAAACCCCTAGATTATTAACGGGGAGGGGGGGCACGTGCACGCGCACAATTTCTCTCACGCAAAAGTGCGTCGCATGAACTTGATTGCTGTGCCGGGGAGCCGGCTTTGTGTTTGTGAGGCAGATGATGGCCCGGCCTTGAGAGTCACAGAGATTGCTTGGTTTTTGATTCGACATGCAATGAAAACAAGAGTTGACGGCTGCACCGCATGAGCTGGATGTTCCCGACAATTTGCATTGTGAGCAAATGACATGACTGCACGTTTTTCTCCTCTCAACAGTGCGGAACGCCTTTCAGGCACCCACACCGGTCGTCACGTGAGACACTGTTCCATCACGTGAACTACCTGTAGAAGGACAGCTCGGTCCCAAAAAGGTGCACATGCACAAAACTAGAGAGACTCACCGCTTTGAGCTGGCAAGGAAAGCCTTGGTCTCACGGTGCTTTGCCAGCAACTTCCCACAGTACTTGTGTGCCTCGAACTCTGCCTTGAAGATATCCCTCGCGCCTACCCGGTTGATGCCCCGAGCACTGGCCGTGAAGGCCTCCAAAGCAGCCTGCCATCCAAGGCAGTCAGGGCCGCTCTTGAGCAGCGTTCCCGTGGTCTCCACAAAGTTAGCCACGGCCTTGCTCGCATAGAACGTCTCCGACGAATCGCCGGTCTCAAGGACCACACAATGCGGTCGCGGGTGGATCTGGGTGTCTGTGAGCCGGGGCAGAAAGACTTTGTAGACCTCCAGGGGGCAAAAAAAAAGCCGCAGCGCGCAAGCTAATCAACGCATGATCTCCCCCAAAAAAAGGGAGCGCCTGGAGCAGCAGGTAAAGCAGCCCCGGGGCGACGCTATCCACGACAGCCGTCGCCTTCCACCGCAAATCCACGACTCGGTCATTCGGACCAAGCGGCATGCCCGGGGCGACAAACCGCAATGGCCACCGCACCTTCGTCAGCGACCTCCCAACGCCGCCATCCTCGGCGGTCCAGGACACCCTACTGTTGGTGGCAAGCACCATGCCCCAAGTGACGTTGAAGTCAACGTTGTCCCCGTACAGTGTGCGAGCCGTCAAGGTCGTTGCGTGGTCGCGGAAGTCCTTGAAAATCGTGCTCTGAATGGGGTGCTTCTCCTCCAGCTCGTTGAACCACAGCAACCGCCTTCCCCTGAGGCCGAAGCGCACAGGCGCCGCCTCATCCGGCGGTTGCGGCGGCTTCGTGAGCACCTCAAGCACGTGTAAACCATCGATTTCAAGGGGCATTCGAACAAAACAACACAGAGCATTGTTTTATTGAGACATTGCACGCAGTGGAGACTGGGCAAAACAGGGCATCGTTTTTGACTCACACAAGACCCCGCCTCCTTGGGCGGTGTGTGGCCACAATCACCAAAGAGTTTGAGCAGCATGGACATCCAGGCGTTCTTGCCGTTCTTCCCAGCGCCGACCCAAAGCATCCCATCCTCCAAGCTTTTCGTGGAACACAGCTGGAAGGCGGCAAACTTCAGCAGGAAAAGGACCCTGGGCCACGACTCGTGCGAGCTGATGCAAACTCCGGGTGCTGGGAGAGGTTCCACAGGCGGTCTGCCAAGGTCTGGGGGAACATGTCCTCGCTGGTGTAGTCTTTCTCCGGCAGGCCGTCCTCAAAGCAGGCCACCTCCTCCAGGAGGGCGGCGACGTTCAAAACGTCCAGCTTGTGCATCAAGTCACCGGGGTAGGAGATCCCCAGTGAGCGGCTCATCCGCAAGTCCCTGCGGCCTCTGGTGGCCTGCATGGTTGGTACGTGCAGCACCCAGCCATCCAGAAACAACAAGAAGTCACGGTACTTATTGCCGTCCAGCTCTGCGAAGAAGTAGGGATCGTAGAGCCCCTTTTCCATCGCGGTATTCGCCACCTTGCGGAGCGAGGCGATCTGGAACGCCACCTTGGGGGGGAGGCCGACCCAGTCCTCCGGCGTCGAGTCGATGTAGACCTGCTTCACCACATCAGCCAGCGTCGTCTCGGCGTGCGCCGATTTCGCCAAAGTCCAGCGGCCCTTGCCCTCGTCAAACATGGCGGTTTCGGTGTGCCTGGTAGATGTTGGGACGCACTTGTATGTGTCCAACACAAGCACACCGTTGTTCAGCACGTGCCCGGGCAGCAACTGGGCCGCGAGATAGTCCACGGACTCCACGCCGGCCGACAGGTAGGCACTGAGCTGGAACCGAACCTGCTCCTGCTCTACCCAGTCATTGTCCACCGTCTCCCAGTCACACTCCGGGTGGATGGTCTTGAAGTGGCGCAGCAGCTCCTCCATGCTTTGGTAAGCCTTGATACCGAGCGGGCTGTCCGGCACCGCGGCCTGTGCGCGCGCTGTCTCCAGAGGTCCACCTCCTCTGGCAGGAGGTCTCTCAAGGGAGCAAACACAACTCCGTCATGTTCCCAACTAACGGGCCGGCCCAGCCCCTGGGCCTCCACTGCAGCGCAAAAGGCGCTGGAGATCCGACGCTCTTCGATCTGGTGGAGGAAGGCCTGCAGAGTTTTGCCAGGGTACTCGGTGGCCAGCATCCTCATCTGGTTCTCGTACTTCTTCTCATCGATGTCCCTCAAAGCCCGCAGCTCCGCAATGAGGTCCTGGACGCACTGAGGCAGCCGGACGCCGTGCTGATCCTCAAACTCCCGGCAGCGCCCGCTGCCGCCCCCAAACAACAGGCCCGTGAAGAACTCCTTGGCGTCCTCCCGCTCCACTGGCAGCATGTCCAGGTAGGAGTCCCTATTGCGCACAAAGTGCCCAAGCCTGGCGGCGCTCGGGTGTCGCCCCAACAAGATCCGCCCGGCACTGCACTGCTGGTCGATGTCCACGAGGGGCATGCCACTGCGGCAAACCTCCTACAGGCTCGGAAAAAACGTTCACCCATCCAGGGACTCAAAAAAACGCTCAAGCAAGCAAGCCCGGTCCTTCAAGGCACGCGAAAAGGAAAAGGCAGAATTTGAGGCAGCGAAGGAGCTCATGCCCAACTTCTGAAGATTGCCAAAGACGGGGGGCAGCTGCATGTAAATGCCCATCTGCGCGCTGATGGCATCCACATCGTCCTGCCCCTTCACAGGGTCGATCTTCTTGAGCCGCTTTGCCAGCTCCTCGTAGTGCTTGGCAACATAGCCACCGTAGGCTCTGCCAAGCGTCTCCACATCAAAGAGGTCAGCAACGGTGTGGCACTCCCGGTACGCCACTTTAACCACACCAGCGGCCTCTGTGTCCCGCACCAGAAGCGCCGCCAGAGCTCGCCTGAAGCCGAGCTGCGCAGCTGCACGCAGCGACCCAAAGTGCTCCACCGCCTCCCTGTTAAATGGCTCCGACAAAACGAAGCCCAGCCTGCCGGAGCCTCCCTGCCCAGTTGACCAAGTAGTTTTCACACCAAGCGATCGCATGGCCTGGAGGTAGTAGTTCCGACGCTTCTTCAAAGGCGGCTTCTCCCTGGCAGGCTCGGCGACGGCCTTGGTCTTCTTGGCAGGCTCCTCACGGACATTGACTTCGACCGCCTTCGGGAGGCAGAAAGAATCATCTTGGGACTTCCATGAAGAGACCAACACCTCCAGCCGAGAGATCCTCTCACTCCGCGGCAATTGCACGAGCTGCTGAGCGATCGCAGCCAGTTGCAACTCCTCAGAGGGCACTTGCCTACATGGAGGGTCCGGGCTCTGTCCAACTTTCACGGCATCAACAGCTTCCATGGGCCTTGGCTCCTTGACTGCGGCCGGCTCCTCAACTGCGGCCTCTGCGGCCGGCTCCTCAACTGCGGCCTCTGCGGCCGGCTCCTCAACTGCGGCCTCTGCGGCCGGCTCCTCAACTGCGGCCTCTGCGGCCGGCTCCTCAACTGCGGCCTCTGCGGCCGGCTCCTCAACTGTGGCCTCTGCGGCCGGCTCCTCAACTGCGGCCTCTGCGGCCGGCTCCTCAACTGTGGCCTCTGCGGCCGGCTCCTCAACTGCTGTGGCCTCTGAGTGGCCCCCACCTCTCTTGTGCTGATTCCAAGCCTCCTGCAACGAGGCCAGTTTCCAATTCATGCTGGCTGCCACGCCGGCCCCCTGAAGGGCAGCCACATAGTCTTTCTTGTGTTTGAGAACGACCTCCGAGCTTTCACTGTCTGACTCATGATCATGATCACTGCCACCGGTTCTCAAACCCGTCACACGATCAAAGTCCGACATGGCAGTTTGCGGTGTTGCGGTGAAGTCTCTGCACCAAACGGCTGCCCGCAAGGGCGATCAAGGCACAACAGCTCACATGGCCCCTCAAAGTCACAAACCTCAAAGAGACCGCACACAAAGGCACTCACTGAGGTGAAAGGGCTCGTCACTCGCCACTCGCACAGCCTCGGGGTGGGCATGGGCAGGGCCGCCCCCCTAGCTTCCTTTGAGTCCCCTGGGTCCCCTAAACCCCTTCTGCCCTGCTGCTGGTTTTGAATGGGAAGAGGGGGGAAGGCCACCCGCCATCTAAAGCAGCAAACCTACGTTGCCCACGGCACCAAACCAGATTATGCTCGGATTGGGGCAGTTGCTCCAAATCGGGAAGCTTTGTCTCGTAAGGGCGTTCCAACCCAAAAAGCAGGGCCACCAAAGTATGGTCAAAAAACACAATCTTGCAAGATTGGGGCCCTCTGGGCAAGTTCCCCTCAACTGCAGCAAATCTGTATTGTTTGAGGGGTCCTGAAGGACCACGCACATTTCAGGTCAGCTCCACCACAATGCGCGCCTCTGCAGCTCTGGCGCTTGCACCAAGAGCGCCTTGGGACAGGTGGTAGGGTACGCTTCCGGGGCTCTTCCTGTCTGCTTCGGCCTTCGACCCTTCCCAGGTCCCCTAAGTCCCCTGGGCCCCTGGGTCCCCTAAGTCGGACTCCTGTCCCTTCTAAACCGGCGTTCTTTTAATCGCGGATTACCAACGTAAAAGAACAGGTTCGCGAAGCCTCGTTTGGGGCCGCTCCATCTGGTCGTGATTTTTGCTCTGACACCGGGTGACAGCAAGGCCCCGAGGCACCAGGGAACCCAGGCACTTGGGCACTTGGGGCACCCAGGGCACCCAGGGCACTTGGGGCACCCAGGGCACCCAGGGCACCCAGGGGGCACTTGGGGCACAGGGCACCCAGGGCACCCAGGGCACGCAGGGCATTTGGGGCACGCAGGGCACCCAGACCACCCAGGGCACCCAGGGCACCACAGGGGAGGAGACAGGGGGTCCATCACGCCAGACGGGGGACGGTTGCCAAGTTGCCGCTCAAACCACTGTCCTCCAGGCATCAAATCCTCATGCAGTGTCCCTCCCATCCAAACAACCACATGCCACAAAATCGTGAAAAATAAAAATGTCAAGGTCAAGTCACGCAACTCCGCCACTTGCTCAAATAGCAAAGCACCACGCAAACCCCGTCACAACCTTCGATCCACGACACTGTGCCCGTTGTACAGTGGCCGCCACTTTCACAGTGGCCCCCTCCATGCCACTTGTACAGTGGCCTGCCACTTGAACAGTGGTCGCACCACCCGCCACTTGCACAGCGGCCGCCACTTTCGCAGTGGCCCCCCCCCCCCCCCGACAGCGTCAGCTCCGTGCAATTAGGGTGCAATTAGGGTGCAATCAGGGTGCAAAAGGGTGCAATCCCAAAAGCGTGCAAAAACACACAAAAACAGGCCCAGTTGGGCGAGCCAGTATCGAAATGGAGTTGGGCGAACCAGTATCAAGCCCCACCACCTCCTACCGGTGCCTGCTCGGCACTCCTAAGTGCCTGCTCGGCACATCTACCTACCAGTGCCTGCTCGGCACTCCTAAGTGCCTGCTCGGCACTCCTAAATCTACCTACCAGTGCCTGCTCGGCACTCCTAAGTGCCAGCTCGGCACTGCCCACCCGCCCCCCCAGCGCCAGACCCTCGTAGTGCTTCGCCAGGATGTTCCACCTCACATCAGCTCGGCGAGGGCGTCACCTTCCTCAAGACAGGGGGTCAGGGTGCAATCAAAAGCAAATTCCATGCCAAAAACATGCAAAACCATGCACACCAAGCAAATGTCATGCAAAAATCCACACATCAAGATCCATTTGATGCCGCGCGCTTTGAGGCACGGGGGCGGAGCGGCCACCTTGATCGGACGACTTTTTTTTTTATCCAGCCTAAGAAAAGCAATCAAACCCAACAATGGCATCCTGGGCGAGGCAGCGGGAGCACATCAGGGAGGCGGTCGAGGCCGGATCGAGGGCCCGGGACACGGATGACGGAAGCCGTGTCTTGGGCTTGAGGCGGGGCCGAGGCGCCTACGCGTTGCTCCAGCGCGCGGACGGGAGCGTCACCAGGGCCGGGGAGGCCTACTTCGGCATGCTCGGGCGGCAGCCAGAGTCGGGCATGCTCGGGCGGCAGCCAGAGTCGAGGACCTTCGACCCAAGGCAGCCGCTGGTCAGGGAGGGTGCGGCCGACTACGTGCTACTGCAGAACGGGCAGCGGGGCCTAGTGCGGCGGCTGCGTAATGGCAGCACGTAGCACACATCCCAGTGGTCATCAGGGGGATGCGGCGGGCCGGCAAAAACGCGGGCCGGGCTTACGAGCGCAGGGACGGGCTCCCCGCAAATGTCCTGGGTGGGGAGGCCAGCCGGCAGCCCGACAGGCTGTCGGAGCAGCAAATACTGCAAAACGTCAAGCAGGAGACGCTGCGGCTGATAACCGCGGAGGACGAGGACCGCGCCGCCGGCAGGGCGCCCATCATGGAACTCAGCGACGAGACGTACTTCTACGACCCGGAGGGGGAGTGGGTGGTGTCCTCGGAGACGACGCAATAACGGAACAGCCGCGTACACGTAGAAACCATCCTGCGGCAGAGGCTGCGAGGCCTGCGCCGCGTGTCGTACCAACTGCCGTGCTTCAACAGTATCCTGGAACGCGCATTCGAGGATTCCGGGGACAATGCCTGCGTGCCGCGGCAGCTGGCTCAACTCTTGGGCGTGCCCTTCGAGGAGGTCTGCGGAGACTTCGACGCCCTTGCAGAGCACGACTGGCGCGCGCACCGCATCTCGCCGGTGGAGATACGAGCCTTCTGCGCGTGGCGCAACGCGCCCATGGTCCTCATCTCCAACACCGGCGAGCCCCTGGACCGCTTCGAGCCCACGCAGCGGGAGACCAAGACCGTGGTGTTCACCTACTACGACGGGCACGCCTTCTTCTACCGGAACGCCCGGCCGGTGCTGGAGCAGATGGGCTGTGCACTGGTCATGTACCGGCGAGACCCGAAGCAGACCGTGCCGCCGCTGGAGGAGTGGAGCCCGTGGCAGGGCGAGATCAAGCCAGGCCACTTCCACACGACGGACCTACGGGAGACGAGGCGGCTGCTGCTGCTCGCGGAGCACAACCCGCAGGTCACGCTCCGCTCGCTCGCGCAGTTCTCGAGCCTGAAGCTGCGCGCCAAGGGCGGGCAGTGCGTGATCCGTGAGCTGCCCGAGGACTGGGAGCTGCTGCAGGCATGGGCCAAGGGGCTGGGGCTGCACTACCGCGGGCAGAGGCTGGCCTCGCTGAGCTTCGAGGCTTTCTCCACGCTGGTCAAGGCGCCGAGGATCACCCCGAGCCAGCGGCAGAAGAAGCTGCTGCTGGCCAAGCAGGGAGGCAAGTGCGCCGCCTGCGGGCAGCAGATCGGCGCCGGGTGCGCGGAGTTCGACCACATCGTGCCGGTGCGGCAGGCCTTCGCCGGGCAGCAGCAGCGCTTCCAGGCGCTCTGCTTTGAGTGCCACCAGATGAAGACCCAGACCGAAAGCATGCAGCCCACGTCGCTGGGGTCGCGGTTCACGCGCTCGGTCTACGACGCGTACGTACGCTCTCCCAAGCAGCCTCCGTTAGTGTTCCAGGCGCGGGCCCCGGGCAGCGGACCGCTCGAAGGCGTGGACGTGGTGCGCTGCCGCAGGACCGGGCTGGCCAACGCACCGTTCCCGCTGCCCATCTTCTGCCCGGCCGACAACATCGAGCCGGCGCGGCCCGGGCACCTCGCAGACCTCTCGTTTGTGGACCTGCAAAATCGGGGGCGCGATGCCCCCGTGACGCTGCTGCCCTACGTGGGGCCGGGCTGGTACCCGAAGGTCTACATGCTGCGCTGTGGCGTGGCGCAGTGGTCCGACGTGCTCCACACGATGAACGCGGCCAGCCACGTCACCGCGGAGTGCCTGGCGCCGGCGCTGGACGTCATGGAGCAGGCCTGGCCCGACGGCGAAGAACATATGGCAAAGCTTGCAGTGAACTCGATGATCGGGCTCATGGCACACGACAGCAACAAGGCGTACACGCTGCGCAGCAGCAGCAACGAGCTGGACGCGACAGGGGCCGACACCAGGCAGGTATTCTACGTCGGCAAAGGCCGGTACGTGTGGGACTTCATCACCACCCGCTCAATCCACAACAACGGGACGCTGCGCCCCATCCACGACTGCGCGCTCGGCTTCGAGGCGACGATGGTGGCACGCATCCGACGAGAACTGGGCCTTCCGCCAAAGTACATCAAGCAGGTGAAAACGGACTGCGTGGTGCTGCAGGGCATGCCGCGGAAGTTCCGAGACAACTTGGAGCGGCTCGTCCACAACACGGACCCAGACGGTAAGCCCAAATTCCGCCACGAGGAGACGACGAAGCCGCTGCGAGGCAAGCACGCGCCGCCCTGCATGCAGGCGGAGCCGCCAGCAAGGGCCGCCCTGTGGCGCACTGCCTGGCCGGCCGATCGCTCCTGCTCACCGGGCTGCCCGGCACAGGCAAGACGCACCTGGCGCGGACCATCGTGACCAAGCTGCGGGAGCGCGGTGAGGTAGTGCACCTCATCAGCAAGACTCACAGCGCCGTGCAGAACCTGGGCGCCGGCGCGAAGACGGCCGACCACGGGGTGCGCAAGTACGTGCGGGGGGCCAGCGTGCAGCGCCTGGACTGGCTGCTGGTGGAAGAGGTCACGCAGTTCGACATGGGCCTGTGGGCGGACATCGCGCGCGTGTCCCTGAACCACGATGTGCGGTTCCTGCTGGTGGGCGACTTCCGGCAGCTCCCGGCCGTGCTGGACACCTGGGCCGGCACGCCCGTCAACAAGCCGCTGCGACACAGCCAGCTGATGCTGGACCTTGCGGGCGGCTGGCGGCACGAGCTGACGGAGAACAAGCGCAGCGACGCGCGCATCTTCGACCTCGTGCGGAGCCTACGCGTGGACGAGCCGGACGAAATGCCCCTAGAGGCAGCTTTGCAGATGGCGCGACGGCTCTTTCCACGCAAGCCAGGTGCCGGACACCACACTCACGATCAGCCACGCCCAGCGGATGGCGGTCAACGCGGACGCGAACCGTCGCCTGGCCCCGGCAAACGCGCAGCTCGTGGAGCCAGAGGAAGACCCGGACACCGCCGAACAAAACAAGTCGCAACCCATGCGCGTGTGGGCCTGAAGCTCATCGGAGCGGGCGGAGCCATCAAGAAAGGCACGTTCGTGACAGTCGCGGCCTGCGGGGACAACATCGCACTGGAGAGCGGCACCGAGCTCACCCCGCAAGAGCTCTCAAGCCAGACGCGTCTTGCCCACGCGCTCACCTACGCGTCAGCCGCGATGCTGGACGGATGGGCAGGGGAAGGGGGCGTTGGCCAGCCTGTTGCGCCTGCAGCGCACCACGTCCACGCCGACGTACAGCGCGTCTTTGTGGCACACCTGCGCCTCAAAAACCAAAAAAAGGCAGCTTGGGGCTCCGGGCGTACTCCATGACTCCGGGGGCCACGCGGCTCTGGGCGTCTGCCGCTGGGACCACATTGTGTTGGGCATCTCCGCGGAGCCACGTGGACGCGGCGACGCTGCGGCGCGCGCTGGAGCGCATGGACGCCGCGTGGCAGGGCAAGGAGCACATGGCCAAGCTCAGCGTGAACGCGATGATAGCCTGTGGGCGCAGCACGGAGGTGGTCTACAGCGTGCGCAGCAGCAGCAGCGAGCTGGACGGCGCGGGCGCGGACTTCTCTCAGGCCTTCGCCTCACGGCCCTGTACCTCTCTCTGTTATTTGTGAAATCTAAAACCGCTCACAGCGCATCTTCAGAGGTTATTATTCAGCAAATGTGGATTCTGCGAAAATTTGGTGGTTTTGCGCGGTGCGGCCACAGCCCTTCTGCTTGCACTTCTGCAAGGGTATGCAGGCAAAACGGGTCCTAGTCGCATTCTGTGCGTCTCGGAATTTTAAGTTGCCCGGGCTTAAAGTGCTGTTTCTGGCCTTGTAAGTGCGTTTCTGTTGCGGAGCTTTGTGGCTCGAAAAGCATGATAAGTGCTTTCTAAGCGCAACGGTAACTCAGAGCAGAAGGGTGGAATTCTCTTGGCCTCATTTGCTGCATGTGAGCCTTGGGTTGCGTCTCCGTCAATCCTCCGGCAACAGGATTGCATTGCTGGGTTAGGGCAGCCGCAGATAGGCCAGCGCGTATACTTCAGCTGCCGGCTTCCGGAACTTGCGTAACGCAAAAGGACGAATGGGGAAGATCAAGCTTTTCCCCACGCCTGAGTACACCAGCAAGCAAGCCTCGGACCCCGTGGTGCCCCTGGTGCCATGCACGGGCATCTTCCTTGGGCCCAGCAAGTCGGGCAAAACTGTGGCGCTCATCAGTCTCATCCTGGAGCAGTACAAGGGCGTGTTTGAGCGGATCTACGTTTTCAGCCCAAGCGTCAACATCGATGATGGCTGGATCCCCGTCAAGAAGTACATCGAGCAGGACCTGGGGGTGAACACGGAGCGTGAGCGCTGTTTCTGGCCTTGTAAGTGCGTTTCTGTCGTGGAGCTTTGTGGCTCGAAAAGCCTTCTGCTCATATCCAAGCGCTTTCTTGGGCGCAGGCGCTCCCTGGGTTAGGGTTTAGGGTTTAAGGTTTAGGGTTTAGGGTTTAGGGTCAATCCAAATTCCAGGATAGCAAATCACAAGGAGCGCTTCATCCACAGTTGCTGGTTGAAAACACCACCCACCCAAGCTCCCATTTCATTGGGCAGCCAAACCTTTCGCGACAAATTTAAGATCGTTGCGGCGAAAGAGGCTTGTTTCTCAATCGCAAACTATCGGCTACGGGATGTAGGATTTGCATGAAAGAACTTTGAAAGCAAAGTTTCGGAATAGAAAGTTTGATGGCAGAAGTTCAACGAAAAGAGTTGAGCCGCGCGCGAGCGCTGAGTGAGAATTTCAGAAGCAATCCCAATGGCTCGGCAACGCTTCGAGCTCACATCTAGCGCGCTCTCCCCTTGGCTCGGCAACGTTTTAGGGTTTACGGCCGCAAGAAAATGCGTGCCGCGCCACAACGAGAGCGATTTAGCCACGCGAAACTCCGCAGAGCATCGCGCGGCCAATTTGAAAATCGCAAAAAGCCATAAGTTTTTGAAGGTCGACCAGCCCAAAGTCCGCAGAGGGTCGCGCGGGCGATTTGAAAATCGCAAAAAAACCACGAGTTTTCAAGGGTCGACCAGCCCAAAGTCCGCAGAGGGTCGCGCGGGCGATTTGAAAATCGCAAAAAAACCACGAGTTTTCGAGGGTCGACCAGCCCAAAGTCCGCAGAGGGTCGCGCGGGCGATTTCAAAATCGCAAAAAACAACGAGTTTTCGAAGGTCGACCAGCCCAAAGTCCGCAGAGGGTCGCGCGGGCGATTTGAAAATCGCAAAAAACCACGAGTTTTCGAAGGTCGACCAGCCCAAAGTCCGCAGAGGGTTGCGCGGGCGTTTTGAAAATCGCAAAAAACCACGAGTTTTTGAAGGTCGGCGGCCCGAAACCACGACAGGGCCACGAAAAACCGCTCGCCAAGTAGAGGCTCCAAAATGATGGCCCTGCCAGCAAACGAGGGTCGGAAAAAAGTTTAGGGTTTATTGGCTGACAGGGCCAACGTTTTGGAGCGTCGAAAAAGCTCAGTTCACTAGCCGCAATTTCCTTTAGGGTTTAAATTAATATAGATAAACAAGTTTAGGGTTTAGGGTTTAGGGTTTAGGGTTTAGGGTTTAGGGTTTAGGGATCCCTCCAGTCTTCTTGAGTGGCGCAGTGGTTGACGTGTTGAGCCCCGTACCCAACTCGCCGTCCGGGCAGGAATCGAGCCGCGCGGAGTAAGAAGCGCTCAGTTCCTTGGCCGACGCCTTAGCCACTGGACTAAGGCGTCGGCGAAAACATATGTAAACATGTTTGAAGGACCTGTCACCGGCAACATCCCGGACTGGACAACGGAGAGGTAACTGACGGCACGCACGTCACCGCAGGGCAGCTGGCCCTGGCTCTCACGCCCTACGCGCAAGTAACGGACCTGGCGGTGAACACGGCAGCCATCCAGTCCCTGGACGACCGGGTCACCGCAGAGCTGGCCTCAAAGCTGGACAGCAGCGCGCCGGCGCCGGCAATTGCGCCTCTTGCCACGGCGGCGGCCCTGGCCACCACGGACGGACAGGTGGCCGCGCACGGAAGCAGCATCGCAGCGCTGCAGAGCTCGCTGACCACGGGTCTCTCCAACAAGGCAGACCAGTCGGCCTTCGACGTGCTGGAGGGCGGGGTGGCCACGAAGAGCACCCCGGACGGCGTGGACCTGAAGCTGTCCAACTACAGCACCACGGCGGGCCGATTGCACGGAGTTTCCATCGCTCTTCGGCCAAAAACAACGCCCACGCTTTTGGCAACGGTTTGGCGGCCAAAACTACGGCCTCAACAGACGGTGGCACGCACGCACGCCTAGACATGTGTTTCGATTGTAGCCGGCTAAGGGTCACGCCGCTGGAGGTAGACACCAAGGTGGCCAACGCTCTCCTGGGGGCCGTCACCGCCGCAGCGCTGGCCTCCGAGCTCGCAAGCCGAGACGCCTCTATCTCGGGGCTGCAGGCCTCCAAGGCGGACGCCAGCGCCCTGACCGCTTACGCCCAGCTCTCGGAGGTGGACTCTAAGATAGCGGCGGCCCTCCTGGGCGCAGTCACCACGGCAGCCCTGGACGCGGCCCTCCTCGGCAAGGCGGACGCCCGCGCGCTGGCCTCCCTGCTCTCCACGGTGGACGGGTTGGGGGACCTCACTGTAGTGTGGGACACCAAGATAGCAAATTGTCCCTTGCTGGGTTTCTCGCCACCGGATGGCTTCGTTCGCAGCGCAGCTTTGCTAGCCGTTGACGCCAGCAATCACGGCCGCTCCAGTGGGGCCAAGGCCGACGCGACGCTGCTTGGCCTCATACGCCACGCGAACTCGCCGCGCTCTTTCCGCCAGCGTGACCAGGCTCCCAGAGCGCCCTCGACGGCCGCCCTTCGCCGGGACTCGGCCGCCCTGCAGCTTTCCGGAGGCGGAGTTGTTAACGCGCCGGCCTGGGCGGGGCTCACGACTTGGGAGCTCGTTCGCGGAAGCAACGTTGTTCGCAACCTGCATCTGGAGGCTCCTCTCTCTGCTGCGCTGGCCAACGGCGACGACACGCTGAGCATCACGGCCGACTGCTACTCCGTCGCAGCAGCGGACGCGGCCCTCGCACCTGCGCTGCTGGCCTACTACACCTCGGCGCAAGTGGACGCGCTGTTGGTCGACTACCGAACGGGGACGGCGCAGGACGCCGAGACGACCAGCACCATCTCGGCTGCGCTGCTGGCCTACTACACCTCGGCGCAGGTGGACGCCCTGTTGGCCGACTACCGGACGGCAAGCGCGCAGGACACACAGACGCAGGCTGCCATCTCGGGCGCGCTGCTGGCCTACCGGACGGGCCCGGAAGGACGTTTTCACGACCAACCAGATCACCTTGGCGCTGGTGGCGTACCGCTCGGCTGCCGACCAGGACACGGCAACGGGGCATCCAGACGCTGAAGAAGGACCTGGCCACACGCATGTCCTGCAAAAGCGGGCAGTGGAGCGACCACTTTGAGCGTGCCGCGGGGGCCTACAACCCGGCCACACAAGACGGTATACGGCGCCCCGAGGACGTGGAGAAGCAGCCGGCCACCGAGTTTTCGGCTGCTGCAGGACAACGCCGACAAGTTCCAGCAAAACAAGGACCTCACGGACCGGCGCATCAAGGCCGTGGAGGACGCGGGGGCTTTCCGAGGGCTGCTGGCCGTGGACTCCATGACCGTCCGGAGCACCGAGTGGCCGGGAGACCCTGCTGAAGCTGGCGCTGCCGGCGCCCCAGGGCAGCGGCAACACGGCGGGCCGACTGACGAGGCGGGGCAGACCGGCTGCGGTGAGGCAGCGGGTCGACTGCCTGTGGCCCAGGCGGCCCAGAAGCGATCGGGCCGCTGACCTTCTTGAGCAGACTTGACGGAAGCAACATGCCTTAGCTTGTGGAGAGAAGTTTTAGCCCAAACACGATTTTGCGAATCTCGACCTTAGAGCGATCCCTGGACCCCGCCCAAAACGGCCATTCAGTTTGTGGATGCAAGCCTGACACCCATGGAACATGTGAAGCCTCTTGTGACCTGAAGTCCGCCCTGCTCCCACCTGCTAGCGCGATTTTTGTACACTCACAAAAGCCTCAGCACGTCCAGCTGCGCAATGATAGTCTCGCAACTCATGAGAGAGTATTTCTTCTCCTCCTGACGTCTGGCCCATGTCTTGTTTGTAAAGGACTGCCAGCCTTCAGACTCACTGCAAATCTGCAGCAACACATTTTGCATTTCCTCAAAGTTGTCCTTCTTCGCCTTGTCCTGCAACTTCAGGCCGTCTGCATCCTTTTTCTGTCCATAACGACATTGCGCAGCAATGAACTCGAGCTTACCAGTTGCCTTGCATCTCACGGGGATCAAAAGGTCGTGGTGAGCCGTTGCAAAATTCCGGTTGGACTTGATGGCCTTCCCAACGTCACTCATGACAGTTGCTTCATTGCCTTGGCCGCTTGGATGTTCCACACCATCACTCCAGCAAACTTCGAAAGGCTCCAAAACAGCTCGCAAATGTGGATCCTCCGTAGGGTAGATCTTCAAAAAAGGGACCCAGGTGACTTCAGCAATCAGGTTTCTTGCTATGCAGTGAAGGCGGAACCGCGCTGCCAGGGAATTTGCAACCAGCTCTTCCCACTTCTCCCCCCTTTCAGTGGCACCCCTTGTTGGGCTGTTGAGCAACTGCAAGGAATCTGGCAGGAGCCCCTCCAGGTCAATGTTCAGCTCTTTCAAATCGTTTCGGATGGCGTCTTTGATATTGGTATCCTCACACCACCACAGCCGTGGAACCAGTACGGACTTGTTGTTTGGAAATGCTGCTCCGGCCCTGAAGATGTCTGACCACCTCACTGAGGTTCCGGGCACAAGCTGGTGGCCTTCTGCAGGCCATCGAACCGCCGAGCAAAGAACCAACGCCAAAGCCACTTCTGGCTGATTGAAGTAGGGGGCTGCATCCGCATACGAGCTTCTGAACTCCTGCGACATGGCATTGAGTGCAACCTGAGCAGTTGATGCCAACTCACCCCAGGTCTGGAATGCCGCCTCCAGAAGCCGGGGTACCCCAGCCGAGAAGAGGTGAATGTTGTCGAATTCCTTCTTCTTGTATTGCATGCCTCCCCACTCTGCCATGGCCCGTCTGGCGGCTTGCAGCGACAATGGCGCCAGAGCCGGTACTTCCTGGACCTTAAGCGAGGTGTACTCCTCCGATGGCCTATCGGTCAAGATATTCACCGTGCCTGCCGAAAACATGCCCATCTTCTGCGGGAATTCGCCAAATATTTCGGTGAAAGCTGATTTCTGTCCATGGTGGCTCAGTCCCTCGACCTCATGATTCACAAGCAGCTCTGCCTGATCGAGGAACACCAAGCAAGCGCAGTCTGGTGTTGCGTTGAAGGCTGCAGCCGTCACCAACAGCCACTGCTCGAAGACGCCCTGCTTCTTTCGACAAAATGAGCCAAGCCAAACTTCGAAGCTGTCGCACCTATCAATTTCACGTCGTACCGATGTACGTTTGAGGGCCTCCAGCACTGCAATGAAGTCCATGCCCCTAAAACTCACCACCAGCCCACTCACTTCGATGCTGTACCCGCACAGCAACTGTGACAGGTGCCACACGACAATTGCAGAAGCAATCCTACTGGGAGCTTCCTGCAACGCTGACTTTGGAATCTCTCGCGCATCAACCACTAAAAGCCGCCCACATCTTCGGCTTTCTGAGAAGTTCGGGACCTTCAAAGCCAGGTGTCGGACAAGCGATGTCTTGCCGGTGCCCCTTGGGCTCCACAAGGCCAAGACCGTCGGCTTGTTGGTCCCATTCCTTTGGATCTGTTCTATTTGCTCCACAAGACTCCGAACAACCGCCTCCCTTTCTAGAAACGGCCTCTCATCCTTGTTGTTGATTCGGCTATTCAAAAAGCGGTCTTCGAAGTCCAAGAGATCTGTGGCGCTAAAACGAGGGAGCTCAACCTGCGCGGGAGGCGCATGAGGGAATGCTGGGAAGGACAAACAATCACAACAAACCAAACACGCATCGGCAATTGGTGAGAAAATCGATTGCTAGCAGGTTCCTTCCCACTGGCTCATGTTTCTTGCAAAACGCTAACCATTCACAACAGATCACAAAGAAGCATGGGTACTTAGTGCGAAAGCCGAGCACTAGGAAAGCAAGGAACACAAGTAACACAAGGGTACCAAAACCGAAACAAAACCAAATTTCCAGCAGGAACACTGCCCATGAAAGCAAAGCGGGAGATGCGTGGTTCAGCTCAACAATCCTTTTGTGGGGCTCCACGCTGAGCAAAACCACTGAGGTCCCAGGAACCCCGACAAGGTTGATGAGGGGGGAGAGTGGCGTCAAATATGTTGAGGTTCTGTGGATGTGATCAGGGCAGCCCCACTGAAAGCATTTCCGCGGGGAAATCAAAACCACACAAAACGTCAAACGGCACGTCTCAACGTCACCCGGCAGCAGAAATACATTGTGCACACTTTAGCAATCTCCTCCATGCTCGTGCTGTCGGAACAAAATTTAACCTTCGGATTGCATTGTGTCTGCAGCAGCAACGACCATGGCAGAAGGGTAGGTCTTGCTCTTCAAAAGGCAGGCGACTGGAACAGCAGGCTCTTCAATATTTGCGGGTTCCCCTCGACTGTTTGATAGTTTTGCGCTAAACACTCACGCCAAATCAGGCAGATATGAACAGGTACGGAGAAAAATGAACAACAGAACGGGATGGAATGGCAGCAAAACGGGCAAAACATCGAGCAAGAACACCGCCAGGGAGATCAAAGAGAACATTCATAGAATGCACTTGTGCCTGCAGCAGCAAGGGCCCCAATGATTGCAAAGACATCAGAGTTTGCCCTCCCTCTCCCCGGCAGACGGGCAGGTCTTGCTCTTTCAAAAACAGGCTGGGGGCAAGCGCAAAATCACTCACAACGATCAACGGCACGTCTCAATCAATGTCGACCAGCAGGAATGACCGACCTCCAACAAGGAAAGGCAACCATCCGTTCATGGGGGCTCCATACCGAGCCTGCCAACGACACGAACCGCCGCAATCTGCAAAAATGCTATCTTGGGATTTTCTCATTCTGTGGATGTTGATCAGGGCAGCCCATTGAAAGCATTTGCGGGCCGCGGGGGGGAAGTTCAGAACCACACGCAACGACCAATGTCTCAGAACAAAGTCAAGAGCAAACGATTTTCCAGCCGTGCCTGGGGCTCCTGCAACAACTGGATCTTCTTGGTCAGCAGTTTTGCAGGGCCCAGTGGGATTCCAGCTGCAATCTGCTCGTCCAGTGTCAGCTCCAGCAGGGACTTGCCGGTGACGCCTTGCTGCCGCAGTGCGGTCACCGTCCGCTGGATGAACTCATCGTCTGCTTCCAGCCCGCCGTCAATCAGCACAGCCTCTGCCCAACTGGGCACCTGGGCCTTCTTGAAGCCCTCCACCTCCTCGCAGCTCTTGGCGAGCCAGTCCTGCCAGCACTCACCAACAAGCAAGCCTGGCGCATGCGAGCCCCCGGCCTCCGCACCACTGTCCTGGCACGATTGCAACCGGCCAAATTTACAACTGCTGATTGGAGCGTCCTGCTGCGGGCTGGCGCGCGAAGCAACTCCGCCACGCCCAGGGTGCCAGCTTGTCACCTCAAGAGCTGAAATTTAGGCAAAAAAATCACATCAACGCCGAGATCTGGACCTGTGCCCTGTGGGAATCCTGGCGGACCAATTGCACCAACTCGACTCACACACCCCAGCTGTGCGCACGAACCGACGGCCTCTTCCAAGCCCTTTTTGGTTGCTTTGGCCTGCGTCGCACGAAAACCGCTTGCGAATCTCAGACAAAGCACGCAGTCCTGCCTCCTCCACAAACTCGCGCAGTTTTTGTTGCAACTCGTCTTTCTTCCCTGAAAGGGTCCACTTCCCTGGATATATCTTCTGCGCTTTTCCTGAGCTCAACACTTTCACCGCTCTTGCAACCCCGACCCACGTGCTGCTCCAGCGGCGCAAGACGGCTTTGGTCTCTTTCACCGTGCCGTTGTCCTCCAGCACCCTGTCGGCTTCTGCGACCACCTGAGCGAGGCCAAGCTGGGACGTCGCTTTCTCTGAAGGTCCGCCGCCTCCTCGAGATCGAGCCGGTCCTGACAACCAACAAGCCCAACGTTCAAGCCCGATGCACGTGTCCCCCAGGCCTGGCCACTGTGGTCCTGGCGGCAACCGGCAAAAGATGCGAACAGGCTTCGGGTCGGAGGAGTCCTCTTGCGCAGCCCCGGCGCGCCGAGCGACTCCGGCATGCAACGGGTGAAGGCCCGCCGCCTCCTCGAGATCGAGCCGGTCCTGGCAGCCAAGAAGCCCAGCGTTCTGATGCACATGTCCCCCAGGCCTCGGCATTGTTGTCCTGGCAACTGCAATCGTCCAAACTTGCAAGCTTTGGGTCCGAAGGTCCTCTCGTGCCCTGGCACGCAAGGCGACTCCAGCATGCAACCAGCGCTGGCTCGATGCCTCACTAAGCTCGCAGGATGCGAAAAGGGTCAATCTGCTTGCGTTAGTGGACAAGTCTGAAGATTGGGCCGGTGCGCCGTTGCGGTCCTCGCATCACAGCACAAGCAGGAACATTCGCAAAGAGGGACTTCACGGTCCTTCCGACCGGGAACTCCTCGCGAAAACTCGTGGGCGGCGGACAGGGACTCCTGAAGCCCGAACGAGTCAGCTGCCAACCCCTCAACGTTCCCAAGACCCAGGCCGTGCTCGGCCACTGCAATGAGCAACGCCAGCGCATTCCCAGGCTGAGGCACGCACCTTGCAAAACCACACAACAAACAGCGCAGCAAATCAGCTTGCGGGCCTTGGCTTTTTATCCTGGCCCTCATCACAGCCATGGCCATTCCTGAACTTCACGGGCCTGCAAGGCCAATCCTACCGCTGGATACGTCGGCAATGTGTGCCCAGTGCCTTCAAGCATTTGATGAGCACTCTTGGGCGGCGGACGACTTCTTGCGTGCCAACATGTCCTTGCTTCGTGTCATGTTGGTCCGCGTGTTCACGACCCTACGCGGCTTGTTTACTAGCACTCTGGTTGCCGCTGGCGCTGCTGGAGCCGTCAAAGACGCCACTTTGCCGATGCCCTTGCACTGGACTGCCACTCAAAGCTCCTTTCGCTCCCCGAATGCCCCAAATTGCCTGTACAGTCACAAAGATCAACTATGCTATCTCGCCGCCGGGGGTCAAAAGGTAAGGGTCTGCCAATACACTTCAAGAGCATTGTCAACTTCGCATGAAGGCAGACACTGCTGATTTTTACATGGCTGGCATCCTTCATGGAAGAAGAGCGTCTCAAAGAACGTCGGCCGGCAGAAGCGAACGACCTCCCCGAATGGCAAGGAAGGTCAACATTCGATTCATGGGCTTCCACACTGATTCGTTTCCCGTCTGCCAACAATGCAGCCAGCTGAAATCTATGAAGACAGGAAGCGCAATTTTGACGCTGTTGCAGCCATTGGGGTCGTTGCTGCTAAAGGCACAGGTCGATCCTAATGTTTTATTTGGTTCCAACAGCATGAGCATGGGGGAGATTGCTAAAGTGCGCACAATGTATTTCTGCTGCCTGCAGACTTTGTGTTGAGGTGTGCCGTTGGTCGTTGTCTGGGCTGTTGATTTCCCCCGCAGCCCGGAAATGCTTTCAGTGGGACTGCCCTGATCACATCCACAGAACCAGGAAATCCCAAGATAGCGTTTGTGCTGTCTTCCCTTTCTCAAGAGGAAGCGCTGCAATCTGCGCAAATGCAATCTTGGGATTTCCTGGTTTTGTGGATGCGCTTAGGGCAGCCCCACTAAAAGCACGCCGGGCGGTCGGGGAAATTCAATCCCCTCAACGTTCCCAAGACCCAGGCCGAGCTCGGCCACTGCAATGAGCAACGCCAGCGTAACTGCTGATTAAAGCGTCCTGCGCCACGCCAAAGGTGCCAGCGTGTCACCTCAAGAGCTGAAAATCCAGGCAGAAAAACATCACAGCAAAACCGAGATCTGGACCTGTGGCCCGAGAGAATCCTGGCGGCAACACACAAAAAACAGCCAAGATGCCAGGAATCTAGTGTCCTCCTTCTTCGCCTCCTGGACCTCCTTCTTCGCCTCCTGGACCTCCTTCTTCGCCCTCTCCACCTTCCTTTCCGCCTTCTCCACCTCCTTCTTCGCCTCCTGGACCTCCTTCTTCGCCCTCTCCACCTTCCTCTCCGCCGCCTGCACCTTTTTCGCATCGCCCGATTCCTCCGCCCGCGCCTGGGCCGTCTTGACCTGCGCCTGGGCCGTCTCTTGCTGCGCCAGAGCAAGTTGCAGCTGCTGCCGCGCCAGGAGCAGGTCCTGCCCAGCAAGACTCACACGCCGAAGCAGCGTGCACAAACAGACGGCCTTCTCCAATGCCCTTTTGGCTGCTTTGGCGGAAAAAGAAAATGCCGCGAAATGTGGATCTCACCTTTAGGCAAAGGAAGCAAACAGCCCTGCCTCTTCCACGAACTCGGCCCGCATTCTCTGGTCCGCCGCCTCCTCGAGATCGCGCCGGTCCTGACAACCAACAAACTGTTGTCCTGGCGGCAACCGGCAAAAGATGCGAACAGGCTTCGGGTCAGAGGAGTCCTCTTGCGCAGCCCCGGCGCGCCGAGCGACTCCGGCATGCAACGGGCGCCGTTTTGCCTGAAAGAGCCAAAGTGCAATCTGCTTGCGCCTGCGGGCAACTCTGAGAACTGGGCCAATATGCTGTCCTGGCACTCAGCACGAAACAAGAACATCCAACGGAGGGACTTCATGCTCCTTCAGCCCAGGAACTCCTCGAGCAAAGTCCTGGGCGGCGACAAGGGACTCCTGAAACCCGAAAACCTTCGGGACAAAAATGTGTCCCAAGACCCAGGCCGTGCTCGGCTGCACGAGCAGCGCCAATGCGACCCCGAGAAGGCAGAGGCACATACCTGGCCGCTGCCCACCGCGGGCACGGTAGCGTCACAAGCTTGCCAGCCTCGGCTTTTGGTCCTGGTCCGCATCATCGCCATGGCTATTCGAAAAGCGCTTGAGCGGCCTGCGATTCCTCAATCACTGGCACTAGACCATCGGGCAACCATTGCGAGCTGTTGTTGTGTCAGTGTTGATGAGTACCCTCGAGCCAAGTTTCCAGAGCAAACACAAGATTGTCTGGCTTCTTTGGCAACACCAACGCACGGGTTTGGATGCTCCTCCTCCTTTTCACTCGCGGCCTGAAGGTCGGTCGGGCCAAGCCTTGCAAGGCTTCGCAGCGTCCATCCGTCAGACTGGCTGACCCACATCCTGCCGCTGCATCAAAGTCCAAGCGAGATACCAAACTGGCCTGCCTGCAAAACAGGCAACCGAAATCGGCACCGCGGAAGTCACAAGCTGTCGTGCCCTGGAGGGCGGGGGTTTCAGGGGTCTCTGAAAGTTTTGAGGTTTCTGGGGCGCCTGGCGTTGCTGGGGTCCCTGAGGTTCCTGGGGTCCCTGGATGAGACGCTGTCAGAGGCAGGCATGGCTGCACGCGGAGCGCCAAGCTGCAGGCTCCGCCAGTCCTCCACGGACTCCTCCTGCAGGAGGCGTCCCAACGCCTCCATGCGCTCGGCGTCAGTGCGGCTCTTGGCCTGCGCCATCACTGCGTCGGCCACCTGCAGGGCCTTTGTGTCACCGGCCAAGACGGCGGCCTGCAAGTCTTCCCAGTCAGACTTGGCCGGCTCGCAGTCACCCTCCGCTTGCCGCGGGCAAGGTCGCCGAGATAGCCCGCAACTGCATTGAAGGACATAGCAACAAGATCCACAAGCAACTTTCAGATTCAGCCAAAATCAGCTTCGCAAGCCCTCACATCCAAAGTCTGATCAACTCGTCTGCCAAATTCTGACCAACTCCTCCGAAAGTCACATGTGCACATGCTGCTGCTGGAATCTGCTGGGCACCAGGCGTCTTCTACTGGCCCGGCCTGGGTCGACGAGCGTCCCTGGGGTCCCTGGGGTCCCTGGGGTCCCTAGGGTCCTGGGGTCCCTGGGGTCCCTGGGGTCCCTGGGGTCCCTGGGGTTCCTGGGGTCCCTGGCGTCCCTGGGGTCCCTGGGGTCCCTGGATTTTCTCGGATTTGCGGTGGGCAGTATCTGAAGCACCCAAGGTCCCTGGAGACCCTGGGGTTTGTGGGGTCCCTGGGGGTTCTTGGTGGGCCCCCCTCAAACAAATCCTGCTTGGGGTCCCTGGGGTCCCTAGGGTCCCTGGTCCCTCTGAAAACCCTGGGTACCTTTGGGGGGGTGTTAAATCCGGGTCAGGGGACCAGGGACCCTAGGGACCCTAGGGACCCTAGGGACCCCGGGGACTCCGCAGGTCTTGGAAGGGGGGAGCCTCTGGGAAGTGGCGTGCCTTGAACCTCCATTGAACAAAGTCGTTCTGCTACGCAAACCAAAGCAACGTAGACTATCAGTCTAAAAATCTGCAAATCTAGAAATCTAATAATGTACAGATCTATAAAAAGGATAAATCTACAAATCTAAACATGTATGAATGTATAGATCTACAAATCTAGAAATCTAATAATGTAAAGATCTATAAATTGATAAATCTACAAATCTAAAAATGTATGAATGTATAGATCTACAAATCTAGAAATATAATAATGTAAAGATCTATAAATTGATAAATCTACAAATCTAAAAATCTATGAATGTATAGATCTACAAATCTAGAAATATAATAATATAAAGATCTATAAATTGATAAATCTACAAATCGAAAAATATATGAATGTATAGATCTACAAATCTAGAAATATAATCAAAAATCGATCTATAAATTGATAAATCTACAAATCTAAAAATCTATGAATGTATAGATCTAGAAATCTAGAAATATAATAATATAAAGATCTATAAATTGATAAATCTATGAATGTACACAAATAAATAGATCTGTATCTACTGAAACCGATACATGATCAAAAACCACTTCACAAGTCGCTTCCAGCAAAAAACCTGCAATTGACCGCAGGAATGTTCGTTGCACCCCACCTTGTCACCCCAGGTACCACAGGGTGTCCCCGGGTCCCTAAGGTCCCTAGGGTCCCTAGGGTCCCTGGCGTCCCCTGGGGTCCGCAGGGTTTCCAACGACGCTTCAGATTGACGGATGCTTGCGTCAAGAACGCTAGGGAACCTTCAGGGACCCCAGGGACCCTAGGGACCCTAGAGACCCACAAACACAGGAAGATCCACGTGGCCTCACCAGGTCAACTTGGCAAATTGGACCAGACCATGAAAACGCCGCGCAACCTGCACAGGAGTCCTGTAGAACGAATTGTGAAAAAAAAACAACTCCAAAGGGCCGCACCGCGAGAAGATCTGCACGTCGCAGTGGATCCTGGCGCCTGGCATGTGACGTGATTGCTCGGCGGGTCAAACATAAAGGGAGCCTGACAGACGGTGAGTTGAGCAAGAGCCTCACGGATCACCTCAAAAGATCAGCTGCACTTGGCGACGGCAACGGAAACAGCAAAAGGTCCGGGCAATGTAGATCCCGCGGTTAAACAAGCCTTGGCACGAGAAGCAAGGCTTGTTGGGCCCAAACCTCCAAGATCAGTTGGGCTTGGCAGTGACAGCGCAAACAGCCAAGCGAAGGCCCAGGCGGTAGATCTCGAGGTCACAAAGCCTGTTGCGGGACGCCGTTCTCCAACTCCACATGGCCGGCACACTGTACGTGGGGTCGAAACCACGCCTTGCACCCGCGAGCGGTTCCCCCCCCACCGCCCCGGACCCAAAAGTGTCCCCAAAAGGCTGCGGCAAGTGCTCACACCCGACAACGTAAAACCGTGAGAAACAACAGCAAGAACCTGTCATTTTTTTGTGCGCAAAACCGTGAGAAACAACAGCAAGAACCTGTCATTTTTTTGTGCGCAAAACCCGTGCAAAAAAAGAGTTTCCG